TGTATTCATCTTGCCGTTTCCAACTTATCTAAACCACATCTTTGCTTTCTACTTGGTTTAGTAGACCATCAGCATTCACCAGTCACTCCCCTTCCCATCTGTCTGGTTTAAACTAGTCTCTGGGCTTCATCTAATTCAGTCTGACCCTATGTCCCATTTCAAATGTCAGACAATTTCCTATCCTCCTCCTCCTCCTCCTTCCAGTTGGCAGGATTTGCTGTCTTTTTGGTCGGGCCTTGTCCCATTGCCCCTATGCAGTTAGATAGTTCCAAGAACCAAAGTTGCTGTATTGGCTATTTTCAGCAAAGCCACTATTCCAATTGCAAAAGAGAAGAAGGGCCCTCCCCCTATTTCACCTGCCATCATCCTGGCCACAGAGGGTGAGAAAGGACAGGCAAAGCTCCATTATGCCTAGTTTAAAAACAGAAGAAGGGTCCTCTCTCCATTCCAACTGCCATCGTCCTAGGGCGTTTTCACACACAGATGTCCAAAGCCGCCTGGAGCCATTCCGGAACGGATCCTTCAGCTCATTCCGGAATGGCTCCGGCGGTGGCAACTTAATTTCTTTTTAAAAAAGGAATTACAACTCCGGCGCTGATGCCGGAGTTAGCACTAGATGGGGCGGGGCTTGCTGTGATGTCGTGTGAACACACGGAGCAAGACCCCGGACTGACGCCGGCTAGCACCGGGGATGGCACTGGATGGGGCGGGGCTTGCTGCGACGTCGTGTGAAAAACATTGCAAAGGAGCCAGACTGGGGCCGGACGGAGGTAGGATAGTGTCTGCCTAAAGCCCCGTGTGAAAACATCCCTAGCCTCAGAGGAGGAGAAGGTGCAGGCAAAGCTCTACCAGGTCTAGCCCAGAGACAGAAGAAGGTTCTTCCCTCCATCTGCAATGGCTCTAGCCTCAGGGGGAGAGAAGAACCACTGGATTTGATCCCCTTCCCCACTGCCATCTCCTTTTGTGTCATTTTTTTTAGATTATAAGCCTGAGGGCAGGGAGCTATGTAATTAACAATTTGTAAGCCATTTTGGTAGAAGAGAGGGGCATAAAAACTCTAAATGAATGAATGAATGAATAAAATGTTTGAGAAGAGTCACAAAGATCTAGTTTATGTTTGGCTATAGAAAATGGCTCCTTAAGACTCCATCTTATGTATCCTCTCTCACAGGAGTGACCCAAAATTCATTTCTGATTTGGTGAGGAAAATGTAATCTCAGGGTGTTTTTTCTTTGGGGGGGGGAGAGATGGATATGTGTGTGTAGATTTATGTCATCTTGTTTTATAAGAGACCATGCTCCCTAAGTTTATATTTCTTGCCTTCACAATAGTTGCCCTCAAAATATCAAGACAACTAAAGAAATAGGGAAAGAGTGATGGACAGGAATTACATTTTTAAGAAAGTAGTGGTGCAGAAAAATGCTTGGAAGAACAAAGATGAGGGAGCTTGGAGACTAATTTTGGAGACAGGCTGGGAAGGTTCTTGTGATTACATTGTCAGAGGCATGCTGAAGTTTGATTTGGTCTGGAATTGGGCTTAAAATAAAACAAATTGTTTTCTAAAGCTAGGGAAATATAGGTCGGCTAATAAATTCTGAGATGGCTGAAACATCTTGAATTTTGAATTTCAAAATGTTTATGATAAAATAGATTAAATTGTTCTTTTACAAGTTGTTCTTTTAAATTGCAAAGATCACAAAATGCTATGTAATGCTTTCAAAGAAATGGGATGCCTCTAGATTTAATCATCCTGATGCACAACCTGTCCTCAGGACAAGAGGCTGCTATCAGAACTAAATACAGAGAAACAGAATGGTTCCCAATCAGCAAAGGGGTCAGGCAAGGTTGCATACTATCACCCTATTTATTCAACCTGTATGCAGAAAAAATTGTACACAGTGCAGGCTTAAACTCAGCGGAAGGAGAAATGAAGACTGGATGAAGGAACATTAACAACCTTAGATATGCAGATGACACAATACTACTAGCAGAAACTAACAAAGACCTGGAACAGTTACTGAAGAATGTCAAGGAGGAAAGTGCCAAGGTAGGCTTAGTTTTTAACATTTTAACAATTTTACTGCCCTGGCTCAGTGCTAGGGAATCATGGGAACTGTAGTTTATTGTGGCACAGAGAAGGCTCAATGTCTCAGAAAAAAACTACAGTTCCTGTGATTCCCTAGCATTGAGTCAAGGCAGTTAAAGTCATCTCAAGCTGGATTATTTTTGGCAGTCTGTTCAGCCCTAAGAAAAAAAAAATGACCACAAAGATCAAAAAGATTCCATCCTAGATAACAAGAAAAATGAAATAATCAAAGAGTTGCCATACCTTGGATCAAACAATGATCAAAATGGAGGCTGCAGTCAAGAAAATGGAAGACTAGGTTTGGGAAGGACAACCATGGAGTGAAACAGATGGGCATCCAGGAGTGACCAGAATCCACTTCCACCCCTGGGCCATGGCAAACAAATGCTGCAGTCCCAAGGGCACCTCCTGCTGTGCAATCCCAAATGGACTGTGGCAAGGAGTGGGAAAAAGCTGTTCCTTTCAAGGGTGGTTTTGGACCACCTTAGGCGGCTATAGCGTGGCCATGGGGTAGCTTCCAGGTGTGTGTGTGTCATGTAAATTCCACATCCCCAGAGTAGTCAGAAGCTGCCCCCATCTGCCTGTCTATTTCAGGACTATGAAAGAACTGGACAAGATCCTAAATGTAAAACAAACAAACAAAAACTCTGAACAGTAAAGTGGGGATAATTTGAGCCATCATATTCCCCATCACTATGTGTAGATGTGAGAACTGGGCAGTGAAGAAAGGTTACAGAAAGAAAATTAATTCATTCCAGATGTAATTCTGGAGAAGGGTGCTGAGAATACAGTGGATGCTAAAAAGACCCCCCCCCAAAAAAAGTCATTGAACAGATCAAGCCTAAATTCTTCCAAGTTGTTATCTCATCTCTTCTCCCAGTTGAAGGGCATGGTCCAGGAAGGTAGAGAAAGATAGCAAACATGAATGACTGGTTCTGTAGATGGCACCACCAAGAACGATTTGGATTCTTAGATCACGGGCTGCAGTTCCATGAGGGTGGACTTCTAGCAAGAGAGGGGCTGCATCTCACCCCAGTTGGCAGAAGCATTTTTGCCAGTAGTCTCAAACAATTGATCAGGTAGGCTTTAAACTGACTCATGTTGAGGAAGGAGTCAGTATCTTGGAAGGTATCTTGGAAGTCAGGAGTACATAATGGGCTGGAGATAATAGTCAAAGTGCTATAGAGGGAACAAGGCAAATGATGCAAGGGCCCAAAAGTGGGAGGAAAAAAACTCACACAGGCAGCAAGTGGGGAGGACCCATGCTCTTAGATGTCTCTACACTAATGCACAGAGCATGGGAAATAAACAAAATGAACTTGAACTCCTAGCACAACAAAGCAAATATGATATAAGAGGCATCACTGAAACCTGGTGGGATGAGTCTCATGATTGAAATGTAGGAATTAGAGGGGTATAACCTTTTTAAGAGATATAGGCCAAACAGGGAAGGAGGAAGAATAGCATTATACGTCAGGGATGCTTACACCTGTGAAGAGATCCAGGACTTAAATCTTGGAAATCAGGTGGAGAGCATCTGAATAAAAATTAAAGAGGAAGGAAACAGCAGGGATGTTATAGTGGGAGTCTTCTACAGACCCCCAAGTCAGATTGAGGAACTGAATGATGCCTTTCTAGAACAGATGACCACACACTCAGAA